GCTAAAACTGCTGGGTAACAAGCTGTATTACTTTGTCATAACTTTTATATACCTAGTTGATGGGACTGTAATTACTTATGATATATATTGTGCCACTATTAGAATTTTAATGTGGCTATGAAGGTTTGTGCCTTGCTACAGTGCTCTCCATTGATCTAAGGCTCAAAAGTGGAGGTGTTTCAAAGCCAACATGTGCTAATTAATCTCTATTAGCAGAGCAGGGAAGCTGGAACATTCAATTGCTCCCTTTACGGTACTTCAAATAAAATTTTTTATAAGGGTGTGTGAGAAAAGCACACAAGCAAATTTAAGGGAATATTGTAAAAAGATTAGTTTGTCTAGTAAGCCTATAATTACCACCTTTTTTTTTTCTCAGTTTTGATCTGTAAATATATGCCCATGAGATTCTTGAGAATGCCGTGCCTTTATACAGGCCTTGAGAAATTTATCTGACATCTGCAAAATCTTGGGCCTGAGGTGGTTACAAAACTGAAGCGGGAACTGCTTGTAGCTCAAGCAGATGAAGTCCAGAACAGACCAACCCGAGCCCTGCCGTCAGCATCTCCTTCTTTCTCTAATTCATCTCTTTTAAGGAAATAGGACAGCTTTGTCTTTCAGGAAAGCTTTAGGTCACACGTAGCGGTCACAGGAAGGGTCAGAGGGGGACTCACTTCTTGCAGGCCCAGAGCTGCCTGGCAGGGTGTTTTCTGAGCAGTTCTTCAGTGGCATCAGCCCACTGAGGAAATGGAAACTCCCTACCCTTCTCTTGCTTTAAAAATAAATTCTTTATCAATATGACTATATCAGTTAGGAATGTGGAGAAGAAATCCCACCCTGCCTGGATATTACTTTACAAAGGAAAGCCCAGMTGCAAATGCCTTTGGAAACAAAAAATGGTTCTTTTTTTCCTCCGTAAAAGGGTATTCCTGTATGCGGGGATACGAGTCTTCATTGGCAAATGATGCATCTCCACTGTTGTACTTCCTGGAGATCACATGTTGTGACATTTTCCTTTCATGGACATTAGGGGGAAACTCCCCTGAAAGGCAGTGTCAAGATTTTAACCCCTGTTGCTGCAGTTACCAGAAACATTACAAAATAGGCTTATTACTGCTTATTTCTAAAAAGCACAGGCCCAACAGATGAGAAAATCATACGGTATGATACCTTATACAATTTATTGGTTGCAGAGAACAAACCTGAAAAAACAAAATCTTTCAAAAATTGTCTTCCAAACTTCATAATGTGTAATAGCTTACACAGTAATCTTTTTAAAGGGCCCCAAAGAGTGAGAATGTAAGTATATGTTAAAAAATAGGATTTATATTTTTCTGCTTAAAATCTGTCCTTTCTCACAGACAATTCTGAAACATCTGCCAGCACCAAGATAGTCAAAAGGCAGGAAATGACCTGTCTTATCACTTGCCTTCTTAAGCCAGCTAGCAGCATGCCTTAATTCACTAAACATAAATTCCAATATAAATCATGATTCCAGGAGGTAAAATTATAAAGCTGTATTCCAGGAAAGTATACATTTCTACGATTACAAATTACATGCTACCATTTAATAATTTTAGGAAGTCTGCATTGATATTTATATACAAGAAGTTATGGTGGTCTGCATCTATCTTTGGGATATTATTAGTGAGTGACTTTCTTGATGAATATGCAGAAATATGTGGTAAAACCCTTGAGTACTGAAGCAATTGGCAAAAATTCAATTAATGGATTTAGGTTTTATCCATAAAAAAAGCATTAAGATGGAAGTAAAATGAATTTAATACCTCTGAGCAATTCAACCAAAGAGTAAATATGACAAATATTTTATTCAGTGAAAACTATCCTGTAGAATAGTAACATATAGCACTACTCCAGCACTTGCTCCTACATAAATTGCAGTATTTGGGTGAGTAAAGAGAAGGTATTGCTGGGTACTTTTGAATGATGGCATATACAAACTTATTTAGCCTCATGCACACTATCCATGCTATGCTGTGGGGCTTTTTTGTTTGTAATTTTCTGCCTTTAAAATATTTATTGTGCAATTCAAGTACTTGAAAACTTCATGCCAATTAAACATAATGGCATTTTGGCTTTTCTACTTAGTTGATGTTAATCTTTCAAATCCTTATCACTCAGATCAGAGCTGAATGTCATATATTTAAGTCAGGCAGAAGGAGGAAAACGAAGGAAGCTTTCTGTTTTTATTAGGCTCTTATTAAATGGGCTCTTAAACATATTAATCTCGCAATGCCTGATTAACGTACCAAATATCGTACTTCACACAGTTCCTTGTAAGTGTATTTTTAAAGGAGAGCTTTCAAACTGGAGCAAATGAGGTTTACTAGAAGCACACTTAGCAGGCTAGTGGTGGTCCRCCTCGATGGCAGCAAGGGGCCGTGGGCTTCGTGTTCCCGTGCCTTGCACCCCTGTAGCAGAGAGCCCCGCAGTGAAACCAGAGGCGTTACAGCAGTTTTCCAGTGTTGTAATAACACCCACTGGGAGGAGGTGCTGCTTACTTCCATAATCATTAATTTTTCTGTCCTCTTGTAACCCAGCTGTGTTTTCTGGTTGACTGGCAAAGATATCCTAATCTTGCCTTTGACACTGTCTGTCGATATGGAAATAATTGCTGTCACCCATACATACCCACACCCATACCCATACATACCTTATTTGTATAAATTACGTGTGTGTTTGGCGTACCTGTATAAATCAGGTATGTGTATGGTGTATCTGTATAAATTACAGATGTACCATGGCCACGCAACGCGCTTCATGGTCAAACAGAGAGGTTCCTCCCTGTCTCCAGCTGCAGGTATCAGCTGTGCACCGTGAGTCGAGTTGCCTGTGAGCTACAGCAATAAAGCAACAGGAGGAGGGCTGTGGTGCTGCCCTCCCGCCGCTCCTAGGAGCCCAGGYGTCCGCTCTCCGGTGGCTCCCGTGGTTTCTGGAGCGCTGTGCGCACGTCTCCCAGTGGTGGCTTGGGGTGGCATTTCCTGAGAGCAGTTCCTGTGCCTACRGGCAGTAGCTGGACTAAGGTCTTGACTTGCTTGTTTAATTTGGGGTAAAAGGTGCCGTTTACAGTCACCAGCATATGCAGCAACTGGAGATTCGGGCTATATGCCTTGTGGCTGCAGCGTAGGCTGTTTGGGTGCACGTTTTGGAGTGGGGCGCTCCTTTGTGTGCCCCAGAGATGAGCTGAGCGTGGCCCTGGCTGGCACCCTCCATCCTGCACTTCCCCATGGCAATGGCAAGGTGGCTCAACCTGGAGAGACAGGTTCCTTCCTGAAGGGCCCCAAACCACGTACTGAGAGGCAGAAGATGTGTAAGCTGGTGAGCAGCAAGCCTGCACGTTGCCCAAGGGAGAGTTTTGTGCTTTAGCCTCTGCAGTACGGGTCATCTTTAATGTAAAKAGATCAGTTCCAGGCCAGTTCTTGGGTTTAAAGAACAGCTGGCATGTACTGCTGCTGAAAGCATGTCTCTTATTCAAAGCATTTAAAATGCAAAAGATTGCTGCCATCCGTTCGTACTGAGACTTTCACCATTGCCGTGGCTGTCAGCAGCAGCAGGGAGGAATTACTTAGCAAAAATTTCCTCTGCTGTAAAAGAATAAGGAAAGGGCCTGAAACTGAATCTCATCTCACAGCACAGAATTAAGTATAGTGGGCAGGGGAAAGAAAGAACTTCTGTCAGTATCAACTGGGTTTCTTCRTGTGCCTCTCTATTCTTCACCCTCTATCAGCGCATCTTATTAAGATACAAAGTCAGTCTTAGCTTAGGGGTTCCTTGCTGTGCAAGAAATGGGTACTCACAAACTGTGCATGTCTGGCACTGCTGGGACCACACATGGGAAGAAGAGGAGAGGGAGAGGRGAAAGGAGGGAAGAGGAAGGAGAGGGAGAGGGAGAGGAGAGGAGAGTTTAAAGTTTTATTTTGGCATCTGAACGTACATCAACACCAGACCCTTTGAATGAGAGCTACCACCTTGCCGCGCAATCGGTAAATTTTGGTGTCACCTCCCGGTAGCTTGTGCTGCTTAMAGATAAACAGAGTATCTCCTTTCCCGTGGGCGTGAAAGGCTCGTGTTTTGGCAGACAAACTGAGAACTGTGACAGCGTGCGCACGGATAACTGCGCTACCCACGTCAGTCAGCACTATCCCCTTTGCCATCAGGCTTAAGAGCGGCACCGGTGGCCTCTTATCACGTAGTCCCTTCCCTTGGAGACTATTTGCTACGTTCCACTGGAAAAAGAAAAAAAAAAAAAAGAAAAAAAAAAGAAAAAAAGAAAGCTCTGGAGGACAAGCCCAAAAACCTCTCCAAAGGAGCCCCGGCATCCTGTTTAGAGTACGGATGTTACCACTGTGGAAAGTGACCTTCTTCCCGATTGTGCTTTTGCCAACGGTCGCTTCACAGTGTGTACRTAATCCCCACAACAGTGTGTTTAATAATAGTATTTTATACCGGGGAAACTTTATGCCATGGCCGCCGCGCTCCCTCMGAGGCGCGACCGTTGGGGCGACCGTTGGCACGACCGTTGCGCGGCCCCCTGCCCGCGCGCCGAGGCTTCCCCCCCGCCCCCGCAGCGGAGCCGTCATGCCGGGCAGCGACACGGCGCTGGCCGTGGACAGGACGTACTCGGACCCGGAGCGGCACCGGCGCCGCAAGACGCGGGTAACGCTCTGCTCCCCGCCATGAGGGGAGGTTGTGGCGGGGAAGGGGAAGGGAGCGGGGGGACACGGCGCGTTGCCGCTTCCCCCGCGGAGCCGCCGCCGGGTTGTGCTCAAGGCGGAGCCCGTTGGCGGCGGCGAGGGGGCTGCTCTGGGTCCCGCGGGAAGTTCTGGGCTGGTGCCGGTGCCCGCTGCCGCCCTGCTGCTGGCGAGGGTGAAGCGAAGGCGGCTGTCGACATAACAGAAACCGGCTTCGGCTCCATCCGCAGCAGAAACCGGCCGGGGATGAGAGCAGGAGAGAGCTTACTCACCAAAGTCAACAGCAGTGATTAGCTCGAGGCTGACGGAAAAGGTTTATCCGCCTGTGTTAGGCATAGAAAGTAAGAATATGTTATGTACCTGTGATATATGACTTTATGGGACAGCTTTCTTTTTGGTCTTCTGGTGAGTTCAGCTTTCTTTTACCTCAGTACTTTGATGTTTTGTTATTAAAACTGCATGTTTGCAATGCTCGTAATTCTGTCGTATGCTTAGTAGCCTGTGGGATGAGTCTGCCACGGGTGGAGGCTCTAGTTTATGCACAGGTTTCAGTTCATACCGAAGTGCTCAGCTCAAGCAGGTGTCAAGCAGCTCGCTGTTCCTGTGTGCTGTAAGAAAAAGTGAAGGAAAAAGGTAGCTCTGGCTGGTTCTGACTATTGGCAAAAGCTCTGTCTTCAGTGCTTACAAGATCTTGAGCTTGTGGGTAAATGAGCATCCCAGTTTGAAGTGTAGGGCTGAGTTATTTGTGGAGAAAAACTGCTTTTTCCTCTTCCCTGCACTGACCATTCCCTCCCATCCCTCCCATTCCWTCCCATCCCCTCTAGCCATTAACTGACAGTGCTGGAGGGAGAGGATGAGCTTCAGGTTGTGCCTGCATAATGAAATGCTTTAAAATAACACCTTACACACACTGTGACTTTGCTGCCGGAGTGCTGCCTAACGTGCTCTTCATGCTGTGGGACAGGTGCATGTTGAAGCTGTGAACCAGTTTTAAGAATTCCGTGTATTTCCTTTGTTTTTCTTTTTACAAGTTGAACTAATTGCCTTTTTCTCATTGTTTGGGCTGTAAGATTAGCGTGCAAACTAGTTTCCGGTGGCCGTAGAAGAAAGTTGCATACTTCTAAGGGTGATTTTTGGCAAGATTAGGAGTTAAATCTGAAGCTTCCAATCTACAAGATCTGACAATCTGCTTAAAAGCATAAAATATCATAACTAATATTCAGAACACTTGAATATTGAAAAATAAAAATCTCATATTTAGGAGACTTTGGGAGGGATTTGGGTTGCTGAGTAATTTGGAGTTTCTTTAATCGGGCTTAGCCTCTCCTTCCCTTTCTGCAGCCATGAGAGCTGGAAATACGCCTCTCATGTCAATTTGGTGGTCTTCTGTAAATGCATTGCCTTCAGGTGTAGGCTTTACAAGCTGTGTTGCGCATCACAGAACTTGCAATATAATTGCCAAAGACGGGAGCAGCAGGCTCTGTGTTCCAGGTGAAAGTGAGGGCTTGTGTTAAATCCACTTGTGCTTATCCAAGACGAGCAGGATTTTCTTCCTGAGTAAATGACCCTGTTAACTTCAACAATCCTGTTATTTCTTTAATCAGGAGGATGGAGCAGMAAGTATGAATGATAAAATGATATTATGTAAGAAAGGAGAAAGAGAAAAAAAGGATGCCAATGTAGTCAGGGCTGCCRTTCCCAAACAATATTTGAGATATTTGGTGAACCCAAATCACCCAGGGAGACTTGCTTGTGTGAAGAAAAGCTTGGAGCTGACTTTATCAGAGGGATGAGAGAAGTATATAGTAATAGAGAAAGAAAAGTTTAATAGATACAGCTTGGGGGAAGGAAAGGGCCAAGTAGCTGCTGAGTCTGCAGTCTCTGTAACAGATTACTGAGTCTGTTTCGGGGTGGGCAGTTTTGAAGGACTTTGCAGCCTTCTGGGATGCAGATCCTGGCTGCATCTCACAAGCACATCTAAGGATTTATCTTACGAGAAAGTGAAGCCTTCTCTATGGACAGGGTGGGAGGCAGTACCAAAACTGCTACTCTTCTCTAGGAGAATATTCTCTCAGAATATATCCCAAATTCAGCTTGCAGAATCTCTAGAAAAAAAATTATTGTGAATGTGGGAGTGTTCTGTGTGTTTAAAAGGGAAGATCTGAGAGGAAAGGGTTTTAAAGTTCTTGCTGAGGTTAAGAAGCTGTTCAGCTCAGTGTGAGAAAACAGGTCCTTTCAATAGGTAGCTCTGAGACAATGTGAAGGATGAGATTGTGGGTGCTCTGCTGGCAACTCTCTGGGGAGCCCTGGGTCTGTTTTCTGCAAAGGCTCCAATGCCTCGAAGTGATAAAATTCTTGATAGAAGATCATCTGGTTCATTCCTAACTAGGACAAAAGAAGAAGTTATGGCTGCTTAAGGAGGGAGAGTATTTTGAGGGTTCCTGCTCGCTTCCTTGAAGGAGCTGCAAGAAAGTTGACTTAGGCTGCACATGGCAGCACAGTGTAGTGTAAGACCACTATTAGTTATGGAGCAGCTCTAGTTCTGTAATTCTAAAAGCATCTTCTGATGCACCTGGTGCATATGAGCCCCACTAGAAGTCTATGCAGGGGTATGTCCTGCCTTTAACCAGCACCAGGTGTTCCAGAGAGAGAGGCCAGCAGGGCTGGCTGTGCAGTTTCCTGTAGATTGTAGCCTGTTCAGGTGAGCTGTCTCCTCTTAGTGGTAGAGATATCTGAAGTGCTAGTAGTTATCTCTTCATAATGCAAACAAACAAGCAAGTACTGCCAGAAGCAGAAGTGGATGTTCTTATTTCAGAAGTAGAGTGGCTGGAGAGAGTGTCTGAAATGCTGCTTCTGTTTCTGTCAGCAAGAGTAGGTGTCTCCACTTGAGCAGCGGGGTTGGACTAAATCATCTCCAGAGGTCTCTTCCAACCTCAACCATTCTGTGTGATCTTAGTGTGCTTTCAACCTTGGCGAGACCAGACTGGCAATACAGCCATTGTTCTGTGCATGAGCTGGTTTTTCCATGATGACAAACTAGTTAAACTTAATATATAGAAATCCTTTTGTTTTCTTGCTTCCTAGTAGTGTAAAAACATCCTCTGCAATGTCTCTTCTTATTTTCTATGCCTCTCTTATGATCCCTCTCATTAATCTTTTCTATAAGCAAGGCCTTAGAGGCCTTTTTATAATCTCTCCTCATATGGAAGTCTTTCTAAGCCTCTAATCACTTTCATCATCTGTCCTTGGGTCCCCTTTGTTTCTTGCAACCTCCAGTATGGTTAGGGGAAATAACATAAAGGGACCTAGAAGGATTAAAAATGTTAACAAAAAAATCAGTTTCAGGAGAAGGGAGATTTAATCTATACTCCTGCTGTTTCTTTGAATATAAAGATTACTGTAGAAATGCCCATTCTGGGCTTTTGTAACTTGCACTCAAACCTCCAGTTATTTGTGCTCAAGGAACTTCTGCACACCTTTCCCCTGGTGCCTTCACTTTTGGAACAAGATAATGTGATGGGGCAGAATATTGCTGAGATTTCCAAACATTAGTTTTAAATTCACTGTTTATCTAAAGGTGTCTAAGACCTGTCAAATAATAGGTAGCATGATGCAGAAAGATTGGGAAGAAGAGCCACAGATTAGTTTGTTAGCATTGAAGAATAGCCCATTTTGCTTATTTAAAATAATCCTGTTCTGATTGCTTTGTCATTGTAGAACGACGAACTTTTTTTATTTTTTTTCTTCCTCCAGTGCTTTAGCGTCAAAAAAGAATGTTAGGAAGTTAACAAAACTGGCACCTTTTTTGTGTGTTCTGAGTTTGGAGATTGAATCCACCTAAAAGGTAAAGGGCAATGTGAGATGCAATTTGTTGCTGTCAGACAAAACAAGAAAAGGGGAAATTGTTGTTCTGCAGCTTAAAATGTGTCGCTGTGTTCCCTGATCACGCAAGGTGAGCAGCCTTGGTAGAGCTGTGAGCCCTAAAGATCTTTTAACTCAACGTCACCTTCCTTCCAACTTAACAAGGCTGTTGTAAACAGTAAGTGGAAGCGGGGGSGGATTCGTGTTCTCCCCATGGTGTCATCTGGTTTCTAGGTTTGGAAATTTCTGAGCGTTAGACCTCCTGACATTGCTGGTCTCTGCATGAAAACTTGGTGTTGCTGAAAATTGCATATTGTCTCCTTTGCTATGCTTCTGATTCATCCTTGTCATAGGAGTAATATTGCTTGCAGGACTGGAATATCTGTTAGTAGATCTTTAAATATTAGGTATATTTAAAAAGATTTCACTGGAGGAAGAAAGTTCTCCCCTTGGTTTGCTTCTCTTTTGAAGGACAAGTAATTGCCCTTCTGTCAGGCTGCCAGGGGTGCTGCCGGGGGACACAGGCAGCTATAGATCCTTAGTTTGCTTATTGTTGTTGGCTCCGTACGTACAGCTTTAAGCAAGTGCCACCTGGCGCTGTGTCTGCTGAGAGGCTCTGTCTGAAAGGTTTTTGGCTGGCTTTGACTTCTACTATTGCTATTCAGGCGAAAAAGATTCCTGCTTGTGGCCAGTGCTGCCTTGGCACTGTTAGCAAGTGTGCAGCTTTCATCCGCACCCCGTGGTGAGCGGCTTTGGGAAAGACCTCAGAGAGWTTCTAAATAGCATTGGGGAATGGTGGAACCTGCAGATGAAAAACAAGAGCGTGTTCTGATACCGTAACGTGTAATTTCCATTATGGTTAATGAGGGTTGCACTACCTTTAATATTGAAAGTTTTCTTCTCTTCCTTTAGTTCACAAAGAGAGGGAAGGATTAATATTTTAAGCCAAAAATAAACCCGCTTTTCTAAAGCCTTGACATATGGGACCTGGTGTGCAACTGCGTTGGCTTGTGGCTTTGCCGCTCATGTTTTTCAGGCTCTCTCAGAAATTGAAAATAAGGGCTACMTAATCTAAGCTTAACGTCAGGGAAAAGGTGGGAGCAGAGGACTAAGGTAATAACACCCACAAACTGTGAGTTGTGACATCATTGTTAGAGAAAGTTGCAATGAGGGTCACTGTTCTGTCTTAAAAAAATATATATATATATATATTAAAAAAAAAAAAAAAAAACTTCCTAATATGGAGGCCTGGTCCCTCAGACTATCATCAGATTTGATGATCATGAAATGAAGCTTTAGAAAAGAATTGGTGAGAACGGATGTCCTCCACTCTTAAAGGAAAACTCTGTTGCCTACCATGACTGAACTCCTCCAAATTTAGGCAGATAGCACACCTCACAGGAGATGTGAGGTTTGGGGTTCTAKAGGTGTTTAGTTTTTAATTCTAAATTACTTTAAAGTGTGCTTTTAGTGCTACACCACTGGAAACACTGCGACAGGAAGAGAAGTCTGATTAGGAAAAGTTGAGGTGGCAAGTTTCTCTG